ATTAACTTTTCTATACGTTTCCTTCTGTTTCATTTCTCCCAAGAATTGTTTAAATGTTACCCTCATTCAGTCACCCATTTGGGGAAAACAACATTAACCCACATCTCACCTGAGATTTATTGCAAAAGTGGGGGAAGTGATTTATAACATTTATACAAAATATTTAGCCTTCATCGAGAGTCCAGATCGGCTGTTTCCATCTTTCCAAGTGACTTTATCATAACTGTGTGTCTCTTGTTTTCAGAGGAAGCCCACAGAGAGATCAGAGTTGGGGTTAAGGTTTCAGGGCTCTGAATGCTGAAGCTGAGGCTTGTACGGTAACGTTCAGGCTCTCAGAGGTGAGCCAGTGAAGCTTAGGTTTAGAAGGACCTGAGAAAACTTTTAGTTAAAAACCTCTGAGTAATCTGTCTTGTGAGTGAGACTAATATGTTAATTAAATGAATGTGAAAAGGTTACAGATCCACTCGAAGGGAGCAGTTCATTCAGTCATCAATCTGATCTGATGTTAAAGAACTAACGGAGCATGAATAACTGAAATAACTCAGAACAGCAAAGAAAGACCAACCAGAGAACAGCTTAACCTGTTAGCAGTCGGACGTACCGCCCACGGTACATTGGATGGTTTAGGGGACTAATTGTAAATTTGTAGGACTGCTAAGGGGTTAAAGCTGACAGTGTTGATGCTCGGAGTCAGTGCAGTAACCACAAACATGAACATCGCAAGTGATCCGTTTTTGGCTGCTAGTCTTTTGTGCTGAAGAACTCAATGCAAAGAACTATAAAATGACCAAACAGAACATGAGGGAAATTAATTGTTTTCAAAGTATTCACTGAAAAATTGGACAGAAATATTCAAGCTAAGTGGCCAAAAGTTTGCACGAGGACTGGATTTTAATACCTCTCAACAGCTTCCAAACAGAAGCCCAGAAAAGATGCACTGCTGCTCCAAAGACGTAAATCATCACACCCGTAAGGTGAATATAAGCTTCCTGCTATTCCAGGAGGAGAAAGCTGCTCACAAAGAAGACTGACAGAGAATATGGCGAACAAAACAAACACATCCTGTGTGAACAGATGAGCCCACGAGACTGGGAGTGTAACTGGACACCATCAGGTCTGGAATTATCCAGCAGTAGTCACAGTTCTTCACCCACCCACACCAGCGCCCTCAGTACTGGAAAGAAAACATCAGATCTGAGCTTTGATGGATGGAGAAACATGGACTTAAACCCACTAACAGGGTCGTTATCCACAGAGTGGGCTACAGACAGGGAGCAGCAGCACATTAAGCTTTAAAAGGGACCCGACCGTGCAGGAGACCTTAACAGGTCCCACACTATACAGGGCAGGTTCATCCTGTGGTTGTGCCGTGTCTATTGGAAATATTCACTCACAGCGTGTCTGATATGTTGCCCTCATTTGAGGTGTCAAATGCAAAAACATGCACTGTCATGGCCCAGGGCTAAGCTGAGCAAAGTAAAGACTGTGCACCAAAGGTGAAACTGCCAAACCCCACCAGAGAATTTATTCGCTTATTTTGCTCATAAATTCCTGTTAGATCCCAGATGAATGAATCTGACAGCTTCCTGCTACAGAGAGAAGAACTCAAATAAACAGCAACAATCGAGTCGGGGAGGCCTGATCGGACAGCCTGCACCAACAGAGACCGCCTGCTGTTAACATCACGAGCTCTCATCCCTGTGAGGGAGACAGCTTCCTGTCACACTGTGGGCATACCCCACACACTGCAAGACCAACAAAAAGAGCAATAACAAAAATACTATACAGGGACAAAGTTGTTTAAGTGCGAGTTTTTTATTTAGTCTAATGCTTGTTCCAATATAATGGATAAATCTTTGGCCTGAACATAAAACACAGCTTATCAATAACTGTTTCCCAGTGAGCAACAGCACGCTTTGGTTGGATCGTCTCCTCTGTCTTCACTCTTTGCTCCCTTTGGACGACCTGTGCAGCCTCTGGGTGCAGGTATCGCCTCATGCACCAGTACTGACACGGACTCTAGTCAAATGCAAAGCTAGTGAAAAAGTAGTCAGAAAAGATGAAAAATAATAATTTCATGTGTGATTTGTAGCCTAGTGTAGCAAGTGTATATTTAATTCACTTCTATTCTACTTAGATGTGTGGAATTTTAACCTGCAAAGCTTCGCTACCATCGGCTCCACATCCATGTATCGATGGACTTCCCGTGACACGCCTCCTGCAGCTCATCCTCAAAGACCTACTCCAAGACCTAACAGCACTAAGATCGCCTCCACTCGCCTAACAACGCCGTCTCTCCCTGCAACTGGAAAGCTGGGTTGACACCAGCCTTTCTTCCAGCACCATAAAAGGTGCAAATAGATTTAACTTTGTTCGACCAGGAAAGTGTTGAGATTTAAAATGTCTTTTGTGAGCATGTCCTGACCAAGAAACAGCTGCTAAATCAGCAGCCTGACATAACAGCGTACAAACGAATACGAAAAGCAAAATACACGGACAGTAAAGATGGGAGCACATCAGGATGCAGAAGGACGAAACAGAGCATCTAACCTGAGCGTGCAGTGTGCTGTGATCAGCACCTGACTGACAGAATCAGTGAAACCATTAAAGAGAGCCGTCCTTACATATGAATCTATAACACATTTCCACAATCAAGCGCAGACCAAATGTCTCTGCCGTTGCATTCACTTGCAAATAAAACGTCTGCTGCAGCTGCTGTAGCAAATAAACGAAGAATACAGCAAGTGGAGGCTTTTAATAGTGCTGACTTTGGGCATTTGGCTGCTTTCACTGCTGAAGTTTGGCTGCTATAGAGAAAATAAAAGGAGGGAGGAGAAGTCGATATCTGGCAGACACTGGAAATTGCTTCCCCCCCAGTCTTTCAAATCAGCCTCAGCAACAAGAGTAAAAGTGCCAAAAAAGTAGCACAAAGGGAGAGTCCACCCTTTCTGTGCGTCATAGCAGTAATAACGAGGCTTTTCATTGTTTTCTCTTCTTGGTGCCTCTTTGTGAATCATTTCAGTCAATTTAACTCAAGCAACTGGGGCACAAACATTTTTTATAGTTGCATTTAAAATGTAATCAGAGAGAATCTGGAGTGAATTCACACGTAAGACGTGTTTCCTAAATGTTGAATTTGCAGAACGAACGCTTCAAAACTTTTTTTTCTGCTCTCACTGACAAGTTGCACATTTTGCAACACAGAAAGCTGACTGGTGTGTATCGTGACGGGTAATCTCCCTCCGGGGCCTTACCCTGCATCCCTGTGGGGCCGAAGCCTTGGCGAGTGAGGAAAATTGCGTGGTCGTGGTGTTCGGCGTGATCGGGATCGCCTTTCTGCTGCACAAAGGCCCAGCGGCACACGTTCTCCAGGCTCCGCGATGGGTTGCCTCTCTCAATGAGGCTGATGGACTGAGAGGAAAAAGGAGAGAGAAATGCAGATGCAAATGAACATGTTGGTACTCTGGCAGCAGCCTGTAATTACTCAGACTGTGAAGCAGGAATAGTATGTGGAAGCCTGGGCTGAAAACGAGAGGATAGCGAGCTGAAGGAGTCGTGGTGAACATAAATCACCTAAGTGCCACTGCTGATTACAGCCAGCAAATGGAAATGTGCGTTTTGACACTGTGTGTAAAAGTGAGTTAGACTAGGTGACCTCTGCAGCCTGCACACATTTTCATCTCTATTTCACTCCTCTGTCATAAAAGGGAATGTCACCTGCAAAAAGAAGTTTAAGAATTTTTAAAAAAAGGACGCGGGGACTCACCTTGGCATACCCCAGCATAATCATCCTGACCAGCACCACGTTGATGTGGACTCCCAGAGACTCGTCATGGTAAATCTCATTCACCTGAGGTGCAGGGGGACAAACAACACTTTTAAGGAATCGGAAATCTGAAATTTAAGGTAAATCTCAGTTCTAAATCTGACTCAGAGTGAAACAGGTTATTCCTCACGACTCCCTCCATGAACGTCTGTAATCAAAGAGCTCTGCGAGCACTGTGCATTGCAAGACCAGGTAAATATGAATAATATGAATAATAGGAGGGAGCAGCTTGTTATCTTAGTTTTGATCTGTGCAAGAAACAAAATATGATGGTGCCTTCAGCCTGCACAGCCGCTACTAGTCATTAAAAGAGAGATTATGACTTGATATGCATGTTGTGTCTGTATTTAGATAGATAAAAACTCAACTCTTCATGGGAATGATTTCCTGTAAAGAGCTCCGGAGAAACCAAGCACTGAGCACGTGACAAAGTCGTTTAGTATTCAACCCGTCTTGGTTTCCTGCAGCCTCGGAAGTAATGTAAAGAGAAGCGAATGAGTCAGTGAAGCAGGCTGGTGAAGGACTCTCCACAGGCAGCCTGACTAATGTTTTCTATCGATTTGAATCTGAATGAAACCGTGAAGTGAGACTTGTGCACACAAGCTTTCTATTTTAGCAGTCAACACCATTATCATCTGCAGACATGCATGTTTGTTCAGACAAAGGCATCGCATCTCCTCCGTATCTGCAGCTGTGTGAGATATATAAAATGCACAAATGCATTTCCTGTTTAAATTATATCCATGTTCACTTATCCTCATGAGGCGTGAATAGCAAAGACAGTTACGTTTTACAATATTAATGCATGAAGACTTTGCAGGACTGCTTGATAGCTGCAGAGCTACAGTTAGCAGAGGACACGGTGACAGTCCACCACCCATTTTCCTTTAATTTAAAGTCATTATAGTCCTGTCCCACTTATGCATACATGTTACGCAATTAATTTAATGTTGAATATATGACATGATGCCACGCGTGACACAAATTGACTTTGGCGATGCATGCATGTATTGGTGCTTTGAAGGAGGATTTTGATGTTCTGACGTCCCGTGCACTTTGATTGGGTCATAATAGTGAGAAGTGTGAGATTGTCAAGCCCCCGGTGTTCACATGCAAAACATTTAATCGGACATTATTATTTGGCTGGAAACTGAGCGGCAGATGAATGAGCCAGTGACGGTCACCTGTGAATGGAAGCAGCTGCAGCAAGCACACTTCCTCTGCTGAACAAAGCCAACTCGGTGCACTTAATTACTGCGGTCATTCTTTTGATATTAATGAGAATCATTCTGCATTTTCAAACTTGTATACTAGATACTACAAACATATTTGTAGATGGCAAAAAAGATCCGTTTACGTAGTTGTGATGGTGACCAGAATGAATGTGTGAAAATGAAGAAGATTGGATCATGGGGGAAGATTTAAGGGACACTTACCACCAATATTTAAAATACATCCATTTGTCTAAAATGTGAACGAATCCTTATTCAAGAAATCTACTGTAAATATTACTCAGAGGTGCCCGTTTCTCCTCCTACAGTGGGTCTTTTTTACTCCTAAAACATACACTCACTGTCCACTTCACTACACATGTCCTCAACTGCTTATTTACCCAAATATCTGATTAGCCAATCACACGGCATCAACTCAGTGCCTTTGGGCATGTAGACATGATCGAAACAACATGCTGAAGGTCAGACTGAGCATCAGAAGGAGGAAGAAAGGTGATTTCAGTGACTTTGAACATGGCATGATTGGTGCTGGTCTGAGTATTCGAGAAACTGTTGATCTGCTGATCCAACAAAAACATCTCCGGGTTTATAGGGAGCAGTTCAAAACAAAAAGATATCCAGCGAGCAGCAGCTCTCTGGGTGAAAATGTTTTATTGATGCCAGACGTCAAGGCCGAACGGGGCCGGCTGTTTTTGGCTTAATAGGAAGGAAACAGCAACTCAAAAACCACTTATTAACAATAATGTGGTTTGATGTGTTGTGCATTCATCTCTGAGTGCACAACACATCAAGAGGCTACAGCAGCACGGCACTGTACCAGGGGCCACTCCTGTCAGCAAAGACCAGGAAACAGCTGGCTCACCAAAACTGGGCAGCAGAGGTTTGGAAAATTGTGCCCGATTTCATGAGTCTTGATTTCTACTGTGACATGTAGGCTCACAGTTTTGGAGTAAACAACAAGAAAGCATTCAGCCGCTCTGCCTCGTATCGATGGTTCCGGCCTTTAGATATAATGTCAGGGATGTTTTCTTAGCATATTTTGGACCCCTTAGTACCAACTGGGAACTGTTAAAGGACACAGCCTGTATGGAGTATTGACTGTGTCCATCCCTTTATGATGTACCATCTAACATGGTTGTAATGCACCGCGTCACAAAGCTCAAATTATCTCAAGCTGGTATCTTGAACATGATGACGTTCGGCACCTGTGGGATGGGATAGAGAGATCTGCAGATCTGGAGCAGCATCTGGCTGATGCTAGCACGTCAATATCGTCCAGATTCTCTGAGGAATGTTTTGAGCACCTTGTTGAATCCTTGCCATGAAGGATTAAGGACGTACTGAAGGTGAAATACAAGTATTAGCAAGGTGTAACTAACGAAGTGGCCGTGAGTGTAAATATGAATGGTGATTTTCCACAACCACTGAATGTTTTGTGGTAAATATAATTAGCCCCGCATCACCACCAACACCGACGTGTCATGATCATAGTACCGACTACACAGCATCTCCTCCTCTCCTGTGGCATCGAGGCAAGGAGGAGAAAAACGAGGAGAAGGTGCAATATTTGGAGAGTAATTAAAGCGTTTTGCACAGTTTTCCTAAATATCTATATATAAACGATCGCTGTGTGCTGAAACACACTGAGCAATGGAAGCCACTGGGTCCAGTTACTTAAAATAAATCCATCTGAACAGGTGCCACATGCATATTTAAGCAGTTCACTTCAAACAACAAAAATATTCTGACACGGACAAAACTGTCAAATTGTTCCGGTCTGACTCTCACGTTTGGATCCAGGCGAAAACAAAAAGTGGACAGGAGAGTGCATCACGTCTGCAGGAGTTCACAGCAGGAATGAAGTCAACGTGTTGTGACTAAGCTCATGTTTCCATACTGTCGTGAATATTCGATTCTGCTGGCACAAGGAAGGTCCCCAATTCACAATTAGGAGAAAGGGTTTGTCACTGCTTGGCTGCACAACAGAGGGACAAAACCCAAATAAGACGTGAAGGAGACTCACAAACAGGACAAATTCATCACGAGCCAGCGAACTCTAGCGCTAATCCCAGCACCAGGACGCCTGACAAACATTTTTACTAGTCTGGTGTGATGACCCCCCTGAGGAAAAGGTACCACTTAAAAGTTTATCTACAGTGTCAATACACTAGGTGTGTTCTCTAAAGTGCTAAATACTGCTTTCATTGCAGTGGATGCTAACAAACTGATGGCAGGGAAACTGTCAGCATTTTGAGTTCATTGTGTTCTTGAGATTTTAATGAGTTTGCTTATATTTCCAGTTCATGGTTTCCTGTATGTGAAATTCCTCTCGTGTCCTTGTCTCATCCCTGTGGTGCTTGTGTGAGTCTGTAGTCTCATCTGTGTCTCCGTCTCCTCGTCCTTTGTGTGTGTCTCCCTTCCTCAGTTTCTTCCCCCCGGTCCCTGGGTCAAGCCCGCGTGTCTTAGCCTGCATCTTAGTGTGTTTCCTGTTTTATTTTGACAGTCGCTCGTCCCAGGTTCAGGGGGTTTAGTTTTGCTTCCCCTGTGTCACTATGTCTGATTCGTCCCAGCTGTGTTCCCGTCTGTTTCCGCTTCTTCTAATGACCCTCATGTGTAGTGTAGCGTAGCGTAGTGTAGCGTAGCGTAGTGTAGTGTAGTGTAAGGTTTTATTGTGGGAAATTATTTGGGTCACGAAAAAAAGTTACAAGCAGCAAAAATTAAGAAAAACAATAGAAAAGAATGAGATAAAACAGAATAACATACTATGTTGCATCGGACAGTATTGCACAATATTGCACATAAGAGAGACATTTCTAAGACTTAATTTAAAAGTTACGAGAAAACAAAGGGGAAATAAGTAAGAGTAAGAGCTGCTGTAACATGCTGCCACACACGGAGGTCGTCTGTTCATTTCGGGTCATGTTCAGGTTTTTCGATGCTTAAGGTTCTACGTCCGTAGTGTTTAGTATTTCAGTTCTCAGGTTGGTTCTGGTCCTTGTTCTTCTGCCTTTTGTTTGTATTTTTCGTGCAGCCTAAATAAACGGCCGTTCCTGCCTCGAGTGTCTGCGTTTGGGTACAAACACAAGGTGCAGACAAATAATTTCACTCACTATTTTATCCAAATACAAACTGACCAAAGAGTTTCACCTCCTGGAATTACCATTTATTTTCACCACCTCCCGTGATCCTTATGTGCGTCACGGGGGGGGTGGAGCCTATCCCTATGTGCAGTTTAGAGTTACCAGTTAACCTATCTGCACCAACTGCACGTGTTTGGATTATGCCAGAGAAATGCAACTAAAATACATTTTTCTAAAATATTGATTAATTTCGCAGAGCACTTCTCGTGTAACATGACAACTAGTAAAAGAACATACATGTTACTGAACAAACTCTGCACGTGCCCATCATGCAGCTTTCACCGCTGTTGTTTTGTCACCAACTGATTGACTGCACGGTGAGCACCAATCGAATCAGTGAACAGGTCAACATCTTGCCATCTTTCTCTCTGACATGTTACATGAGAAGTGCCAATTAGCAGAGCATGAGGACCAAAGTCACAGGCAGTGGGCCTCATTTTCTTTGGGCCAGTGATTTCTCACTGAGCTCATCTGCCACATTACACAATAAGTCAGTGCTCTCCACTCAGGACAGAAGAGGTGGAGAAAAACATTTCCCGGCAGCGTATCATCACGTTAAACTGTCCGCAGAGCATCTTTTCGAGGCGATGCAGAGCATCTTTTCGAGGCGATGCAGCGCTGGACGAGCAGGACCACTCCCTGCTGCTCCTTT